CGGCTCTATCTTACTTCTTGTATAGACTCAATTTAACCAAAAAATAAAAAATTACAAACCTAGATAGATTGATATAGAGTGGTTTGGTAATTTTCTCCATACCGGTCCCGTTATTATTGCTCGACTGTATGAATATGTGTATTTGTGCGTGTTAGCGTCTATATGCAATACGGTTCCAAAATCAGAGTTGTCAAGGGTTGAATATTAGGTTCTGTTTCTCAAGACCCATAACACATACTCATACAATCAAGCAAAAATAGCAGGGCAAGTATGAAAGAAAATTGATCAATCCACTCTGTATCGATCTATCTAGGTTTTTAATTTTTAATTTTTTGGCTCGATTGAGTTTATATAAGAAGTAAAATAGAGCCAGATAGAGTTCTTGCTTTACAAGAATGACACCGAGCTCTAAGGATATCCATCATATGATGGGCGAAAACTCAGCACTTTTTCAACCGAACCGAGGGAGGAAGTATCGTGGACTGTGTCAACATGAATATCGTATAAAAGCCAAACGGCTGCAGTACAACGAAATTCATCCGTCCTCTTCTGGTGAAATCGACGAATGAATCTCTTCTTCATGCACTTTCATCCAAAATTAAGGTTCCCCTAACAAGCTTTTATTATAGTAAACATGTGCACTAAATAAATATACAATAATTTCATGTTTTATCTAATCCATATAATTTAAAGTATAATTAGCCGTTTAGTACATTAAATTTTATTATACAAATTTTTTATCTTTATTTTTGGGTTAATTTAATTTGTTTAAATGTATATTGCTTATGTTGCTTTACTTGAGGTGCGAATATCGAATGCCTTATGGACTTCCCTCCTGCACGACCCTTTTCTGAAAGAAATGCTTGTTCAGGGACACCAACCATACACATTCCGCCCTCTCCTTTCATGAAAAAACTAGGTTTAGTAATTTAAACCATAATTTTTTAAGGTTATGGAACCGGAGTTAATGTTTATCTTGTTCCCAAAGGCAAATTTTCTGGGTTTCGCTCTCCGTTTGCCTTAAAGAAGGTAAACGAATATGGTAAGATTTCTAGGATGGAGTCTAGAATTGAGTGGGAGGCTCGGTTACTAAGAAAATTGTCCCATCCTAATATAGTAGGCTTCCGTGGTAAATTTAGGGATGGGCACGGTGTTATGATAGCTCTTGAACTGGTATTCATATTTATTAATTAATAGTCTTCCAGTGTGACTCTTCCTTAATGGATGTTTTGGAAAAAAGGGATGTCGATGACCTGGGACCTCTTCCAGCTCTTTCGGTGCTCATGCTTTCTTACGAAGCTGCTAAGGGCCTTGCTTATCTACATTCCCAACTTATTCTTCATGGTGATATCAAGAGTGACAACGTGCTCGTAGATAAAGATTTGACGTCGGTTAGTATTCAGAATTCCTATTTTTACGTGCCTATCTTATCTTGTGTCTGGTTCTCGGTTCCGTGCTTCCATTATTCTAACCTTTATCACATTTATCTGCACGGGCTCACCTCTTCTTGTTGGTGCTCTTTCTATACACATTTCGTTTTAAACATTTGTCTTACTTTTAGGATGCTTTTTTTAATCTAAATATATTATTTCCTACCTAATGTTCTACTCATTGGTATCTCAAGTCAGCACTAATGAATCTCAGCACCACTGTACTTTCGTTAGGCATTTTATATGTATACATAGTTTAAACGTAAGTAACTGTTAATGGAATTTCTTTTTACCTGTCATCTATATCACCGTTCTATACCCTAGGCTAAATTATGTGACCTTGGAACCTCTTTACTTATGAACGAAAAGATGGAGGCAATTGGCCCAGAAGCCGAATACATAGGTTCTCTGCCTTGGAGCCCTCCTGAAGCCCTCGAACAACGGCTCAAATCAAAGAAAGATGTAACGATAACAGATAGAGCCGATATCTATGCATTTGGTATGCTTATCTATGAGATGTGCACATTATCTGTTCCTCACGCAAACGAAGATACAAGTTTTGTTAGCATTATCAGCGAGGATCTAGTATCTTCGGAGAACCCTCCAACACCGATGTGCAAGCGATCTCAGATGAAGTGTATGTATTTAATAATACATTTTATTTAATTCAGCTTTAGAAGTCAGCTCCACTGATATCTCGAATCATTCTGGTAAGTTAATTTGCTTTTGATACACATTTAAATGCTAAATACACACAATATACTTATAGCTATGTAGAAAAAATTAACCTCTGTATATTTTAATCGATTTATCATTTTTATTCCTATTAGCTTATTAGGAAATAAATTTCTTGCCATTAAGTCCTATAAATTTTCAAAACCTTATATAGGTTGAAGCAGAGCTATATGGAGATTTTCTCACGATTTTAATCATAGTTTGCAAATCTTATAGCCACGAATGGATGTAGCCTATTTTTCATATGCGGTTAAGGATGATATTGTATGATTATTTTTATCCTGATGAACTTGTGCAAACTTACTTATATTATTTACAGAAGAGCTAATCAAAATTTTAAGCTTATTTTTACCCTTGAATTGTGGCAAACATCATTGTATCACTCTCAGTTTCTGAAATCCACCGGGGAAGTGTTATTCGGGTACAGTTAATAAAATACTTTATCACTCCATCTATTAATTAGAAGAGAGTTACGAGAATGAGAAGCGTAAGCTATCCAAGTTCACAGATATTAAGTCTAGACTTAGGAAGGGTTCTAATTCCGGGGGATTTTCAAAAACTCTGAGATATGACTGATCAGAAATTACAAGTGTTCGGGGATTTGATAAATAAGCAGCATGACAAGAAATTGCTTAGATATGGGATAATAAGACAACACATGATCAAGTCAATCCGGACACATTTTGATGGTTCTGTATTCAAGGCATCAATTGCCACAAACGACGATAGGTATAAGGCAGTAACTATAACCTCAGTCCCCTTGATTCTGAAACCATGGATCTCCTGAAGGGGCCAAATTTTTCCCAAGGTAATGAAGGAAAAGTTCTGGATGAAATTCTTGTCAAAGTTGTTGACATCGGATAAATACCTAGAAGGGACAAAGCTTCGAATAGTCCACGTGGGGTATAGTGCAGATAAGTCGTGTTCTGAGTGGTATTACGTGAGTTGACAGATAACTGCTTACTGACTAAAGGTATGAAGACCTGGATGGTGTAGCCCTTTGTATGGTCGCGGACTCCTTTCGTTGCATAGAAGTTGCTTGACCTTGGTTTCGCAACTTGGTCATTTTAGCAGGAAGACCTTGTCCTTAGTCCATAGTTTACATGATAATTTCCACTTGAACTCACTGATAATGCGAAATGTCTGGGAATGTACTAAGTTCACGGTCCGACTCTGGAAATTATCATGCATACTATGGACTCCAGAAAAGGTGCATTCCTCTTGGTCTTCCTGCTAGTGTGATCAAGTTGCGAAACCAAAGTCAAGCAAATTTTATGCTTACTGACTGGTTGCGACGAGAGATATAGTCACTACATCCTAATGCAACCAGATATAGGTGCATAGAATTTTTATAAATTTGGGATTTACGCGTGTTGAGGAATGTACTGATAGCATATAATTGTTGTTTATTTAAAATCTACCTTTGTACGAAGAAAGGTCCACCTGGAATTAATTCCCATTATTTTATGATAATTAAATATATGCATTTATCTTTGTTTTTTGCATCAACTAAATTTCTTAATACAATATGTATGAATAAGCCTATTCTAGTTATTTTTTATCTCTATCATTCACTGCATTATTTATTTTATAGATACCTTAGCTGAAGAACGATTTTACGAACGCCTCGGAAAGCGACCTCCGCTTTTTGAGGGTCAGTTAGATGATACATATAATCAGGTAAGTCTATCTTGCATAGCCTTTTTATAGTTTTTTCTCCAATGTTTTTAATGTCACATTCTTTATCTTTTTTGTATTATTATGGTTCAGGCTTTGGAAATTTTTCATGTGTGCAGTGAGCAAGTGTCATCAGACAGGCCGTCTGCACAAGAAATAGTTGAACTTCTCAGGGATTGCCTTCCATATACTCCTGATGATTAAAGTTTTATATTATTTATCTTCTTATGCTCAATTTCAATATTCATACAGTTTTATATGATTAAATTATTTCGCATACTTCTTCTTTTTTACCTTTTTATAAAAGTTGATATCCTCAGAATTTGT